GTTCAGGTGATTCAGAAGTTATTCTTTCTCTTCCTATATATTTAGACTCTGTAGCCTGACTTTTAGGAAGCTTACCTTGCTCCGTTCTGTCTTTCCATTGAATATCTGAGACACCATATAGTGCAAAATTTTACACTCAATTGTCAGAACTGATATATAGTGTCTGCCCTGTGCTAGATACATCACTTATATTATTTCATTTAGTAAATAATTCTGAGGTTGAAGCTGACCCTTTTTATTTTAATTCTTTATGAATATAGATGACATACAGTGCTGTATTAGTTTCACATATACAAGATAGTGACTCAGTATCTCTATACCTTATGCTATGCTTACCACAAGTTTAACTACCATCTGTCACCTTACAATAGCATTACAATATCACTGACTATATTTCCTATGCTGTGTCTTTTCTTCCCATGACTTGTTCATAATTAGAATCCTCTATCTCCTATTCTCCTTAACTTGTGTTTCCTATTCCCATACCTCCCTTCCCTCTAGCAATCATCAGTTTATTTATATTTATAGGTTTGATTATGCCTTTTGTTTATTCATTTGTTTTTTAGATTCCACATGAATGAAATCATATAGTATTTGTCTTTCTCAGTCTGACTGATTTCATTTAGCATAATACCCTGTAGGTCCATCCGTGTTGTTGTAAATAGCATGATCTCTTCCCTTTTTAGTGCTGTATAATATTCCTGTGTGTATACACCACATCTTTATCCATTCATCTATCAATGGACACTTATCGTGCTTCCTTATCTTAGCTAATGTAAGTAATGCAGTAAACACAGAGCTGCATATATTGTTTTCGTTTTCTTTCAGTAGTAGAATTATTGAGTCATATGTACATCTATTTTTAATTTTTTGAGGAACCTGAATACTATTTTCCACAGTGGTTGCATCAATTTATTTTCCCACCAACAGTGTACAAGGGTTCCTTTTTTTTCCACATCCTCACCAACACTTGTTATTTCTTGTGTTTTTTATTTTAGCCATTCTGACAGGTATAAAGTGATTTTGAGATGCATTTTTCTGATGATCAGTGACATTGAGCATCTTTTCATGTATTCATTCACCGTCTCTGTGTCTTCTTAGGAAAGATGTCCAGTTCTTCCAAAACTAGCCCTCTTTAAAATTGAATCAAAGTGTTTAACTTTCCAAAGGATGCACAGCCATAAATTAGTAAGGGCTGAGATCTCGACCCAGGGTAGCTTGCTCTGAAGTTTGCTCCCCAGCCCAAAACAGCATGCTAGAAGAGTGGCATCTTGGTTATTTGTATGGCTTTAATTTGATTACTCGACAGATTGCCACAGAACATTAATGTACTTTTGATCTCTTTTCTGTTGTCTCTTCCTCTTTAAAGTGACAGGTGCTTTTGGCCACTGCTATCTCTAGAATTCCCTCAGTAAATTTGTAGTGGCCTTATTTAGAAACAGAGTGTGTGAATGTGTAAATAAGTGAACACTGGCCACAAGTCAGCTAGTTAACATCTCAGAAGAAAGCGATAAGATTCTGAATTTTTCTTGGGCAAAGTTTTCAGATATGTTCTGGTAGTAGTAATTCTAGAGCAGTCCTATTCAACTTTTTCTCACTTATCCATAGCAAAGGTACATTTTGCATCATAATCCAGTACATACTTAGGAGTATGTGAAACATAGATTTATAAAAACTATTTTTCCTACCGTAAGAGATGTAGTATCATATTTTATATTATATTTTGTTTGATAAAAAAAAAAAAAGTCCTGGGTGAAACCCATCAAACTTCATCACTCCCTTATAAAATGCTCTGGTTAGAGGATAAACTGATGTAGTACATGTAGTTTTTTCTTTTTTTACTCCCCTCTCCTCTTTCCTCAGATCCCTTTTGCTTCTCTGTACTCCCATAGAGTCACTCAAGTCTGTTTGTTTCTCTCCTTTCCTCATCCTGCCCTTCATTTCTGAACCTTCCCACTCTGTCAAGGGAGAGCTGTACCTTTTCACTCCACCAGTGAAAAACTATAAAACATTTATGTGCATTACAATGTTGCCTTATTATTTTTTTAATTTAAGTGACTTTTAACTTCTTTGTGTCTCTCAAATTCAAAACATAATGAAATTACTTCTAACAAGAGTGGCATGTACAATTTTACCTTCCTCATGAGCTAGTTATAGTAAAAAGTTTCTCTTGCTTATAAATTATACTGGCAATATTGAAAATACCATTTTAATATAGTACTTTGAAATCAAAATTAAAGCAGTACACTTTCTATACACCTATTTATGGTTTTTGTTTTGTTTGCAGGAATAACCTCCTATGTGTTTGGAGCTGTATCTATGTGAGAATGTAACTTTCAGGATAATTAGAAACTACAAAAACATCCTTCAGTTCTTCTGTATTTACTGAGTCACTTAATTGTATTCATGCTGTTACTTTAATTTCTCACAGTTTTTCCTGTCTCTCATTTCTCATGGCTACTATCTTACTCATCTTTCTCCTAGATTACTATAATGAGGTCTTGGTTAATCTCCCTGAACTCTCTGTTTATCTTCCTCCATAGTGATGGTCTGAAATAAAAATTGATCTGCCAGTGACTACTTACATTGCTTCAGTGGCTTTCAGCCACCTGAGGATAGAGTCTAAATTGCTTGGTATGTCTTTTTAAGGCTCTTTAGTGGATTGCATCCATTCTCTCTTTGACAACTATAGTTTTCGCAGGGCAAAGGGAAGCAAAAGGGTAATAAAGGATAAGCATAGCAACCAGCTCATGGTTTCCACAGTATGTCATGTACTTGAGTCCTTTTGTGTATTTACGTTATCTGGAAGTCCCTTTCTTTTTATTCAGCTATCCTTCAAATCTGATCTGAGATGGTATTCTAGGAATTTGTTCTAGCAATTCTCTTGGCACTTACCTCAATATGTTATGTCTGCTTATATGTGAGCCTCTCATATACTGGGAGTTCCTAGACAGAAAAGAGGCATCTTCATTTGGGTCACGCTATAGTGTCTGCCATGAAGACGCTTGGTGCTGAGTCTGTATGGAGAGCAAAGAAACACACCTGGGCCTTGTCCTCATTAAGCTTTTGATCCACCAAGAGAGGCAGATATTTAAGCAAGTACAATAAACTATAATAGAAGTGTGAGATGTTAAGGGCTTCCTGGTCAAAATGACATTTAAGATGAACACTAGAGGAATTACTAAGAATTAGCCAGTTGGTGAAGAAAAGTAAAAAGAATTTTGTTATAGAAGTAGTAACCTATATAAAGGCCCCCAGGGAAAGGCATGTCACAGCTGAGAAACAGAAATAACGTACCGTGGTTTAGGGTTCATATGGCAAGAAGTAAAGCTACAAAATGTGAAGAAAGCTCAGTCATTACATTAGATCCTTTACAAATAGGATGACCATAGAATTTATCTTCTGAACTGCAAACTTTTGAGAGTGAAATGAGGAGCTTTTAATAATTAATGCCAGGACAACAGGAATAAACAGACCAGCCTAGATAAACTGGAAGTCATGGTGAGTTTGAACTTTATCCTAACAGCATATAGGGATTCACCAAAGGATTTTTAAATTGACCAGATTTACATTTAAAAATCATCATAGTCCTGGTGTGGAGAATAAATCGGCAGGGAGCTATTGTAATAATGAGGCCAAAGGACATGATGGCTTCAGACAGAAGTGGGAGTGGACTTGAGAGAGATTTAGGAAGTGAAGATTGATTAATCTGAGTGATTAATCAGAGGTGGGAGTTAAGAATGATACCTGATTTCTTTCTTACTTCAGAGAAGGGCATTACAGTTCTCAGATATGAATGGGCAGGCCTGAGGATATGTTCTGCTCATGATGTCAAATTGTATTAGTCTTCCGTTTGTATTATTATTTTTCCATTCTTTAAGCTATATACTTCTGACTGTTTCTAGGTCTTATGTCAGGGAGCAAATACTTCATGTTTTCCCAAGACTTTAAAGAATGATGTGTATAGGGGCACCTGGGTGCATCCGACTCTTGGTTTCAGCTCAGGTCATGATCTCACGGTTTGTGAGTTCAAGCCCTGTATCCAGCTCTGTGCTGACAGTGCAGAGCCTGCTTGGGATTCTGTATCTCCTCTCTTTCAGCCCCTCCCCTGCTTTTTCTCTCTCAGTCTCTCAAAATAAATAATTAAAAAAAAAAAAAGAATGATGTGTATAAAATGTTTAGTTTTTCTCTTTCTGGGGTAGGAAGTAATCTTGAACCAGTGAGCAGTTGTAGAGCTGTAGTCTAGGTTTAATAAAACTAATTTATTAAATGAAAAATGGTGGGATTATAGGTGTTATATTTTATTTTATATATTTCTAAATTTTTAAAAATGGAGAAATGTTTGGCCATTTGTCACTCATGAAAATGTAGTTTTCATTTGCTGAGCCTGTGCTGTTGGTTTTGAAAACACAATTTCTTTTTATCCTCACAATAACCTTGTAGATAGATGATATTCTCATTTTACAGATATGGTTAGACTCAAAGAAATTAAGTAATGTTGCCATAGTTGACACAGTTCAGTGGCAGAACAGTAATTGAACCCAGGTTGATCTAACTCTGATCTCTATACCCTTGACCTTTAGACCATTTGTTGTCTTTAGAGAGTACAAAAAAAGATTCAAACTGCTCTCGAACTGTCTTCCTTTTACATTGGCAATAAGATACGCACACGTAAATTTCAGAATAGAAGTTAAACATCCGCTTGTATGGGTGTGATATGTTAGCACTGCTTCAAATGCTTGGTATATGTCATCAGATTCTCCCTGAGTAGCAGTTTGAATGGCAGCACTCCGTAACAATTGTGGCTTCTGTGTGTGATTAAAAGCACCAAATGAGGAATTTACCTGGATGTGCTGGGTTCAGAGCTCCAGTGTAGCACTGTCCGTGGAGAACTTGAGCTGATATTCACCAGCTGCCAAAGCTGGTAGTATATAATGTTTCCAGAAGTAGATCTGTGTAGAATCCGTTATAATGTTCAAGCTCTTTTTGCTTTATAATAGAGAACTTCCTGTACTGGATCCTGGATTGATGAAGTCAGAGGTCTGTGCTTCCTTGTCAGCAGGTAAAACTTGACATTTTCAAAATATGTATATTGAAGTATCATTTTGTATCTGTATTCAGGCCTAGCAAAATGAATTCATTAAAATAGGAAGCTTTTCATTTTAGAAGGTTGTTAAAACAGGTTTTACAGTTTGTCAGTTTTCCTCAGTTTTAATTGCTTGGTTAGCAGATAAGATTTTGAGAGATCTTCCATTTGATTATTTAGTAAAAAATGTTGTTTAGCTTTATCTACAGAAGATCATTGACCTTAGAAATTTTGTGGCCTTATTTTGAAATGAAAATATGTATTTAAACTTTATCACATTTTAAATCTGAATCCTTTTTATAATTTTTTCTAATTAACAGTTAATCATAAGTTTGAATACCTGGATCTCTGCTTCACAGGAAATATTTTGAAAGTTAGTTGTATTTTAACTTTAAAGTTTTATAAGTATATTTTAAATAGCTGGACGTAATCAAGAAACATTCTTAAATTTATCTTGATATATTTCAGCTTGTCTTAGTGCCATTCTTTTTATACCATATAATGGAGTTACTTTGAAAGAGGGAGGAATAACTGAATAGTTTCCTGAAAACTACTTCACGTTTGTCACATTGGACCTTACAAGGGTCTCTGAATTCTAACTCATTTTTAGAACAATCTTTGAACAACTTAGTTATTTCACTGTTTAAAGTTTCTACAGTTGAATATTATTTCTTTTCAGCAAATGAGATAAAACATGATTCCAAAGGTGAAAACATTTCCTTAGGGGAAATTACTAATGAGACCTCTGAAAATGAAAATCTGGGAGACTTCAGTGAACACATAAAAAGTTCAGACTTGGATGAAAAGGTACTAGGGAATCTTGCATTTTATTTTCTGGTCTAAACAGTGGTAATGCAGAAATTCTTCTTAACAGTGCTGTCATTAGTTCAGACTTGGATGAAAAGGTACTGTGGGGAATTGTCTGCATTTTCTTATTTCTTGGTCTAAATATTTGTAATACAGAAATTCATCATAATGGTGTGGTCAGGTGACAAGTGTAACCCTTATTGAGTGAAAGAATTGCATCATTCTGCTTGTAGGATATATTATTTGGTGCTTTGTAAAAGCACACTATTAACAGGTTTCACTTATCTGGGAAAATGCGGTGTTTAATTGTGTATTTAGTTTTTTTTTTTTTATCCTGAAGTTGGTCTCAAACCTACATAAGTCTCTCTAAATTATTACATATTTTCCTGCCTCATTAAACACAAAGTTCTGAATATAAAGTTGATCTTTAAAATTTAAGAATATCCTAGTACTCAAGGGTTATGAATGCACATGGCAGTTTTTTAACCACATATTGGAGCTAAACCAGACTTGATGATGGAACATACTACTGGCATATGTTATAGGGAAAAGTTTGGATATAAAGTTTGTTCTTGTTTTCTGCCAGAAAATGCTTATGATTGTCTTAAACTTTTGCATAATTCAGTTGACTCCTAGGCAACTATTTCATATTTTCTTTTTTCTCTTTATTCCTCCTCATTCATCTTCATTGCTAACAACCTAGTTTCCTACTTTACGAAGAAAATTGAAGTAAATGGAAATGAACTTCCTAATTCCCTACCAATACATTAGCCACTTAACCTGCATCTGCTCCCAAAACTCCAGCTTCTCTTCAATTACAATAGATGACCTAGCCAAGGATATTCTTTCCACCTGTATGCTAAAGTCCATCACTTCTCTCTCTGAAAATACTACTGCAGTAATTCTTCTTTTATTATTGGATTATTCTTATCAGTATGTAAACATGCTGTTCACCCATTTTCAAACACAACAAAAAAACCTTTACATAGTCCCATTTTTCTTTTCTGCTCTCATCCTATTTCTCAAAAGGGTTATCTATACCCACTATCTCTAGTTTCTCTCCTCCAGTTGTCTTGAGCCCATTGCAAAGGTATTTGCCTTTACTGCAACCAGAATTATCCTTGAACTCTCCAGTTGATCTCCTTGTTGTGGAATCCAGTGGACATTTTCTCAGTCTTAATCTTACTTAACCTGTTATCACACTTTCCATGAAAACCTGACTTTCAGGGTAAACGTACTTGCCTGGTTTACTTTCTGCCTTTCTATCTGCAACTTCCCAGTTGATCTTTCTGGTCTCTCCTAATCTCTCTGTCCTTTACATATTAGAGTGACCTAGAACCTAGACCGTGATGTGTTCTTCTTTCCTATGTAGATTTGCTCCTTAAATGGTCTCATGCAACCTCATTGTATTAAATGCCATCTATGTGCTAAGACTCTCAAATTTATAACTGCAGCCTGAACTTTCTGAACTGCAGACCTTTATGTCTAGTTGTCTACTGGATTTTTCCTCTTGGATATCCATTTGGACATCTCAAACTTAACCTGTTCAAACTGAATTCCTGAAACATCTATATACAGCCTACCAGAGACTCATTTCAGCTGTAAGAACACACGCAGGCTGAAAGTAAAGGGAAGGAAAAAGATGTTCAGTGCAAATGGAAACAAAAAGCTGGTACAGTTATACTTGTATCAAACAAAACAGACTTTAAAAAAGAGAGTGTAATTAAAGACAGAGATGCAGTACATAATGATAAAGTAGTCAATCCAGCAAGAAAATATAACATTTATAAATATGTATGCACCCAACATAAGGACATCAAAATATATATAAAGCAGATATTAACAGACCTAAAGGGAAAAATAGCAATACAATAATGGTAGAGGACTTTAACATCCTACTTACATCAGTCATCAAAACTGAAAATCAATAAGGAAACATAAGCCTTAAATAACATTTTAGACCAGATGGACTTAATAGATAGATATGGAACATTCCATCCAAAAGCAGCAGAATATAAATTCCTCTCGAGTTCACACAGAACACTGTCTAGAATAGATGATGTGTTAGGCCACAAAGCAAGTCTCAATAAATGCAAGAAGTTTTCAAGCATATCATGCATGCCAAGCATCCCACTATTGTATGAGACTAGAAGTAAATTACAAGAAGAAAATTAGAAAAATCACAAATAAGTAGAGAATAAACAACATGCTAATGAACAATCAATGAGTCATAGAAGAAATCAAAAGATAAATAAAAAATACCTAGGCACAGTGAAAACAGAAATATGGCATACAAAAATCTCATAGGATGAAGTAAAAGCAGTTCTAAGAGGGAGGTTGATAGCATACAGGTCTACCTCCAGAAACAAGAGAAATTTAATTTAATGGCACATCAGAAGGAACTAGAAAAAGAATAAAGCCAAAAGTTAGTAGGAGGAAGGAAATAATAAAGATCAGAATGGAAATAAATTAAATAGAGAATAAAAAGAATAGAAAAGATCAGTGGAACCTAAGAGCTGGTAAGATAAAAGATAAAATTGACAAACTTGTGGCCAGACTTAACAAAACAAAACCAAAAAAACAACAAAAACAGGACTCAAAATCGAAATGAAAAAGAAGTTATGACTGATACCACAGAAATACTATGAAGAATTAATTATAGACCAAAAACTTGAACAACCTAGAAGAAATAAATTCCTAGAAACTTAACAGTCTTCCAAGAATGAATTATGAAGAAATAGGAAATCTGATTACAATTACTAGTAAAGAGATTGAATCTGCAATCAAAAAACTCCCAAAAATTAAAGTCCACGACCACTGCACTTCACTGGTGAATTCTATCAAACATTCAAAGAAGATTTAATACCTACCCTCCTTCACAAACTTTTTTGAAAAATTGAAGAGGAGGAAGCAGTTCCAAACTCACTTTACAAGGCCTGAAACTAAAACCAGACACAGATACCACAAAAAAAATGAAAATTACAGGCCAGTATCCCTAATGAACACAGATGCAGAAACCTTCAACAAGATCAAATTCAACCTTAGCAAATCAAATTTAGCAATACATGAAAAGGATAATATACCATGATCAAGTGGGATTTATTCCATAGATACAAGGATGATTCAACATCCACAGATCAAATCAATGTGATATGCCACATTAACAAAACCAAAGATAAAAACATATGATCATCTCAGTAGATACAGAAAAGCAGTTGATAAAATTCAACATCCATTTGTGACAAAAACTCAACAAAGTGGATATAGAGAAAGCACACCTCAACATAATCAAGACTGTATGTGACATGTACCCCAATGTTCATAGCAGCACTCTCCACAATAGCTAAAACATGGAAAGAGCCTAAGTGTCCATCAACAGATGAATGGATCAAGAAGATGTGGTTTATCTATACCATGGAATACTACATGGCAATGAGAAACAATGAAATCTGGCCATGTGTAGCAACATGGATGGACCTTGAGGGTGTTATGCTGAGCGAAATAAGTCAGGCAGAGAAGGACAAATATCATATGTTTGCACGTATAGGAGGATTAGGAGGAACTTGACGGAGGAACAAGCGGGAGAAGAAGGGCGGAAATGGTGGGGGAAAGGGAGAGAGGCAAACCATGAGAGACTCTTGAATGCTGACAAAAACTGAGGACTGATGGATGTGGGGGGGAGGGGGGGAGGGGCATGGAGGAGGGCACTTTGGGGATGAGCACTGAGTGTTATGTAGAAACTAATTTGACAATAAACTATTTGTAAAAAAAAAAAAAAAAAAAAAAAGACTATGTGACACACCCACAGCTCATGTCATATGCAACACTGAAAAGTTAAAAGCTTTTCCACCAAGCTCAAGAACAAGACAAAGTGTTGTAAACTCTGGGTCTAAAGTGCAGCGGTCTCTCTTGTCTAACAAGAGAGCAAGACACAGGATAAAAAGCGAGAGATGGCTCATGTCCAGGAAAAGAGAAGAGCCCCAAATAACGGTCCCATTTTTATTAAGATCAGAAGGCTTATAAACATGGTGATGGATGTGCACAAAGAGACAATAAATCTATGAACACATTAACTTGTGGATGTGAAGGAAATGGGATCTTGAAGATATTCAGGGCTAGAGGTTTGGGTTAATACCAAACAAAATCCTGGCACCGGACAGTCTGGCTTGTTTTCAGCAGACATGAGGCACCACCTTTGTTTATCTTAGCTAGCCTAGAGGATGAGACAGGTGGGACACATGACCTCAGAGTTAACAAGGCACCTTTTTATTTGTTAATCATCTCCACTCCAGGCTACGTCACCTACAGCACAGTGCAGCGGTCTATAGCCCTATTTACCTGCTTGCTTAACTTGTTCCTTCCTTCCTGTGATAGCAGCTTTCTGCTATAGTACTAAATCGGGGGGTTCTTCCACCCTGAATACCTAAACTTGTTTATTTCATATACTATGTATTGGGTGCCTTTGCACTGCTTTCTATTCTGGGTTGCCTTTGCACCTCCCTATCTATTCTGGGGTGCCTTTGCACCTCCCTATTCTTGGGTGCCTTATCTTGTTTACCCAAACTCAGGTGTAAGCATCCTGTGGCTTTGTAATTCTTTATGACTTGTTAACACATTGGTATAAGCCTGGGGGATTCCTAAGCTTATTCCCCACAACAAGGATGCCCACTGTCCCACTTTTATTCAGTATAGTATTGGAAGTCCTAAGAAGGACAATTAGTCAAGAAAAAGAGAGGAAAGATATCCACATTGGAAAGGAAGAAATAAAACTGTCACTATTTGCTGATGACATATTTTATATAGAAAATCCTCAAGATTCCACCAAAAAAACTGTTAGAACTAATAAATGGATTCAGTAAAGTCTCAGGGTACAAAGTTAATATTTAAAAATCTGTTGTGTTTCTATATGATAATAATGAGTTATCAGTAAGAGAAATCCAAAAATCCCATTTATAGGCACATCAGAATGAGTAAAATATCATGAATAAATTTAACTGAGA